AGCTCCCAATTCAGTCAATCTTCGCAAAGTTATAACTTAAAAAATCAGAATTTTCAACTACATAACACATGAAACTTTGCAAAATTCTAAAACGATGTTCCTAATCCTATAAGGACACCGACGACTATGTATTGGAGCTGCAGGGCCTTCTTCAACTGCGCATAAATATCGTCATTTTGCCACGTAGACTTTGAAATTTGTCTCTAACGGCGACAATAAACGCAGAGCAAGGAGATTTGGGTCGGCTTAACGAGGCCAGAGTAAATTGTGGTTGGTGAGTGTATAACAGAGCTCCATATTGTCGCGAAAATATATGGCAAAGATTCGAAAACCCAATAGGACGAGCCGATGGGTTTATTTGAGATGCTGTTCAGAAGATTGATATGACGTTTGAAACTAGCTGGCACGTATTGCTAGTCATGCAACTGCAAGGGGTCCTCCCGTTGAAAATTTGGGCGACATTTGTTTTCAAAAGCAGTTCGCAACTATATAAGAGGTGGTAGAGGGAAATGGTTTCGTAGTAAAGTACATTGCAAACAATACCCTAGCTAAAGTCTCATGGAAATCTTTTTTTTCACCCACTATCATCATACGTAACCTTACATATATTCCAATGTAAGGAATGGAGTGTCTCGCAATCAGTCTCTTAATGTATGGCTCTACGAGCGGAATACACATGATTTTCGTGAATAGCATATCAAATTTTCTAGCTAAATCTACAGAGTCATATTGGGCTTTTGGCCTCAGTATTGTAAATTGGTGCTGAAGTAAGGCTGTTAACAAAAACAAAAAATGCACATGCATACCCTTCTCCCAATTTTCCGATTATGTCGAACACTTCTTCAGGCTGCTTGTTGAGGGCGGTCGAGTCCAATTTGAACACATCACTGAAATTCCTAGCTGTTACAAAAAAGGCCATCAAATGGAGAAAGTGATATGAAAAGGTGCAAAAGCTGCAATTCTCAGAAGCCCTCACATTAGCCATCTTTAATACATTCAGCTCAGTCTCATCATTTAGAGCAAAGAAGAAGAGATATCTCATAATAAAGTACGGCGCTTGAAAGATTTCCAAATATCCGTAGAACAGTGTCAAATCATGAACATTAACAAAAATACTGATGTTTAAATTTGAAAGAGCGAGTGCGAACTCTATTATTCAAGTTAGAGCAATCCAATTGTAAATCAAATAGAATACTACGATATCAACTTAGCTTTAACCTAGTTTCATAGCACAGCGAAAGCATAAACACGAGTACTCTGAGGTTCAATTAGGAATTACATCGAAGAGCTCTAAGCTTTCGGATGTGATGACTTCGCTTGAATCTTAGAGAGAGACGTATCGTTGCAAGCGGT